TTTTCTTTGATCAAGTTTAATTCATCTGTTCAGTTCATTGAACTTTATAAATAATTATCGAAGAAATTTTATGCTTTGCGTTTATTTCACAAATGTGGAATAATAAATATTTATGTACACACACACTCATACATATATATATATATATATATATATATATATATATATATATATATATATATATATATATATATATATAATATGGAGTAATAATTAACACATACGAATATAATATATGGTCGGTTTGGTCATGAGAGAACAACGACCTTCTTTTATTATAAGTTTATTGACTGGATGCTTATGGGTACACATGCATCACATATAAATGTATATATATATATATATATATATATATATATAAATGCATCTTACTTTATGACAAATACATCAAATTTATGTTAATGCAAACTGCAAAATGTTATCCCTCGATACTTACATATTGCTAAAAAAAAATCAATGTTATGTATATTTAAGATTGGAAATTTTTATTTATGTTATTTTATTTATCTTATAATTTTTACTTAGTTTATTTTTTAATTTATTTTCACTTATTTTCATTCTTATTTTTATTTATTTAGTTCTTTCAATTTATTTATTTATTAATTTTACATGCCGTCAGTATAATCATAAGGCTCATGTCAATATTTAATATAATTTATTTAACAATTTTATGATTTATTCATTTATTATTTAATTTATTTACTATAAACTCATAGTAGATAAAACTTTAAGCTGCCATCAGAACTTAACAGTTCTTCGAGCTCTCGTGATGATACTTCTTTTCAACCATGACGCTTTTCAGAAGCCAATCTAATAGTTGGTCTATCTATATTTAATATATTTTTATTAGAAGTTATCTAGTATTGACGATATATTTTAATTTAATGCAGCATTGTCGTAGAGTGCTAATTTTACTTGGAAACAATTTTTGTTCTATATTTTCAAGTGGAAATGGATATTACTACTTCTTGATCAGGTGCGAGATTGAACCAGGGTCTCTGTTTCACATTTAACTCTATTAATGCATATGATTAATGATTTATACATAAATTAAAATTTAAGGAATGGTATAAAATATTCTATAAAAAATATTAAATTATATATAAATTAATCATATTCACATAATTATAAATATTAAAAAATATGGCAAATATAGAGACAAATTTTTGACTTTAAAATAATTACAAAAATAATAAACCGTATTTTGAAAGTGATAAAACTGCCAATATTACATTATTACGAAATTTTAAGAATATGCTTTATTTATTTTATGAAATAAATGTAATATATGTATATAAGATAAGATGAGCAAAATAGGAAAGAATATGGCTATATTGTGAGGCCAAGAAATATGCCACGTCAATGTGAAGGTCTAATTCTAAATTAGTATTAGTTATATAAGGTTGCCATAAGGTTACTTAATAGATTTAAAAAAATGATATAAATTGTATAAATTTGTATGAATTGAATGGTGGCAAATGTATTTAGTTTAACAATCAATAAACCTCTGCTCAATAATGCTCAACATCAATAAAAATATCTTAAACTTTATAAAAAAATTATTCTAAAATTCATATGTTTCGGCTAGAGTCATGACTATCTCTTTGTGGAAGAATGCTATGAATTATTAGCAGAATGTGTTCATAACAAAGTTTTAAAAATTACAAAATAATTAGTTAAAAGTACTTACAATTTGTTCTAATATGTTTTAAAAATAAACTTCCAGACAATACATATTTTTTGTTTTCATTTTGCCTCCGTGCATTCAAGAAATTCAGCTCAACAAATTTAATTCTAATGTGGAATTGTGTGTGAAATTAATTTTAATGTGGAATTGTGTGATTTTATTGATGAACTTGATTCAACGTTATTATTTAATTTTTTTTTAACTTCCCGTAGGGTAAGTTATTGTAATGGGCCGAAAATCGGAATTGAAAATTTTTACATTTCTCGACGTTTTGAAGGTTTCTGAACGTTTTGGCATACCTCAGAAAAAAATGGATGTGTGTGTGTGTGTGTGGTGTATGTATGTATGGATACAAATTCCAGTCACGTTTTAGGGCGCACGGATCAACCGATTTGAATGGTTCAAAAAACATTCGATTCCTATTGATTGGGAAAAGAGCTGATTAGTTTTGGCAAAGGCAGGTCAGCCGTTTCGGAGATACGGAGCAAGAGTGCAGAAAATAGAAATGGAATTTTTGAGCGAACGGAGTATCCGATTTGAATGATCTAAAAAACATTCAATTAGTAATGATTGGGAGAAGTGTTTGTTAGTTTTTGGCAAAGGCAGGCCCAGCCATTCGAAGATACGGAGCTAAATATGTAAAAAATGGCAGTTTTTGAGAGAACTAAGCGTCCGATTTAAATGATTCAAAGAACTTTTCTGCTTGTCTAACAAAATAATTGATTTTGAAAAAAATTTTGTTCCATTTTTTTTTTTTTTTTTTTTTTTTTTAGTATTTTTTTTTAGTATTTTTGTATATCGAAAATATTTCAGATTTTATTTTTAATTCTGACTATAGTTCTAATATACTTTAGAAATAATTTCAACTCTGCAATTCGGTTTATATAATTCTTATAAATATTACACAATGTGTACAATATTTATAATAATCTATTTGAAAACATTCATATTCTCGAACTTTCGTTACGGTGCGGGAAGTTCCAGCAATTTGCTTAAGGCACGATGCCATAATTGCCTCAAGACAGAATTCCACTTACAGCTAGTTATTACTTTATTTAAATGTAGTTGTCCTTGTTTATATCGTTATGAAACTGCCAAAGCTAATGTCGATATTATTATACCGTTTTATCGCCATATCTATTTCGAGATAAATATGGTGTGACTATTTTTTTTATTGTTTGCATATAGAGAATGATTCACCTGAACTTCTATGACATTGTACGTCTAAATATATCAACATGTATCTCAATTACATACATCATTTTATACCGCTAATAAAGTGTAATAATATTTTTAATTACACTACACGGGTATGTTATTTTTAGAGTTTGTTTTTATACAGTCTCGTTATATAGAATCTTGTTGTTTTGTGGAATGTTCATTTATCATAAAAAATTACATTTTAAATTGTCATTCGGAATATATTTTTATAATCCTAAAAAGTCCAAATTTTAGTAGAGCATTGGAGGAAACGAGACGTTTTTACCGGAATTTTCATTTTCATTCCTTAACCACATACTAACATAGAGCTGAATGATGTTACATAGAAAATATCAATACTTCTGCAATATGAGATATTAGAACTTAAATTAAAAATAGAGTCAAATCGATAATGCCATTAGACGAATTTCATGTAGGTATATTTTTATTTTAATAAATTATTATTAGCATGGAACCCTAAGCTGTTGGTTTTTTTAGTATCGCGAATAATTTTTAAATATTGCTCTTTATTGACTACTCGTGTCTCATTTATTTATCACTAATTCTTTATTTTCATATCAAAATTATTATTTTGTGACTGCATATTTTACATAACTATACTCCATTTAATTTTTTCTGAATTTTTCTGTGGATTTATCTTTATTTTTCAGCTGATTTTGCTCCTCATTTAGGCAGTATTAAAAATTGTCGAAAATGTTAATAAAAAGTTGAAAAACTAACCCTACGATTGAACAGATATTGTCAAAAAATAGATAACACATTTATATTAGGTTGTCAAATATCTCCCTTCCGCTTTTTTGCTATTGGTTTATAATACAAAAAGGCGGAAGGGAGATATTTGACAACCTAATATTATAAACTTACAGTAATAAATATGTTATAAATAAATATATGTTGATAAACAATAATTAGAAATTGAACTGGTAACTTGTCTTATCAGTGGACCTTAGTTCTGGTTTAAGTTTTTTTCCTTAATCTAATTTCTGGCTAGTAGCCAGGGGTTTTCCTGATGATCAATAATAAAGTTTTCCAAGAGCATACTTTTCATGGTCGACAGCGGGTTGATAATGAAAACAATTTAAAAATGATACGAACATAATTTTATTACCTAATAATTAGTTTGTGACCTACTACATTAATTGAATAAAGGTATTAGATTAGACTTTGTAATTAATCTACTTCAAGTAATCAGGAGCCATTGGCTTTGCTAGCAATAATAAACCTTTATCTTGTATTCGAAAGTCTGTAATAACTTTGTCAGTTGGTTTGAGGTAAGATAACATAAAAACACAACGGAGTAATAATTGAATATGCCAAAATTGTTTGTTTTGATTTTTGAGATACTTCGTGGCTCTGTGAAAAGTGCTTTGGTCTTGCACAAGGATCTAGGTTTGATATCCACCTCAGACAGCTTAATGCAAAGCTCTTCCTCTAAATGGTATGAATATCATTAGAATGAGGAAAACTTTAAAGAATTTCCGAATTAGTCAGTTGAAAATTTTGTTGGCAACATTTGGAATTCAGCAAAGTACCTACCAATATATTTGTTTTCAATGCTATTTGTATATAATTACTTATATTTTTCCAAACAAAGATGGTTTAGGTTGATCTCAACAGGTGATATACAAATCCAGAAACAACTCAATAAAAGCAAAATACTTTATTTAAATATTAAAAGTGATTCACTTTGTTTAAATATTAAAAGTGAAAACTTATTCATAATGGTGCAGATGCCATTAGAAAAGATTTTTTTTTAAAAAATGATTGCAAACCTTATGAACCATCTATAAAAAATAATAAAATTATAAAACCGTTTTTGTTATATTAATTTCTTCTCCGTAATTTAATATCTTTGGTATTACATTACTAACTTAATTTATATTATGTGGGCATATTATCTGTTTTTCATGAGTATATCAGAGGGTCAATGGCATTGCTTTTGTACATAATAGTCGACAAATAAACTAAAAATGTTTGTAAAGTCGACTTTATCTGTTATACTCCGATAATATTATTCGAAATCAGCGAAAGCTAACTAATTTGCATTCAAATTATACAAAAATTTAAAATATTATATTCGAATTGTCTGAAGGCTTGTCCCATCCATTGCTCAGTGATAATTGCTCACCTTGGCTTTGCAACTACAAGTTAATTTCCACCTCGGACAACTTGCTATCAAGAAGTAGTAGTAACCGTTGACACTTTCAAATGAAATTAGCTTTTTGGTGCTTTGCTGTTAAAAATATGACCAGAAATATAAGTAAATAAATATCACAATCAAAATATGGAACCTTGGTTCAGAATAGGAACCTTGGTTTTGCAAATACAAGTTTATAGGTTCAATTAGGCTTTGGACAACTTGATATCAAGCAGTAGTAGTAAATGTTGACACTTTCAAATGAAAATAGCTTTTCGGGGCTTTGCTGTTGAAAATATGACTAGAAATATAAATAAATAAATATCACAATCAAAATGGAACCTTGGTTCAGAATAAGAACCTTGGTTTTGCAAATACAAGTTTATAGGTTCAATTAGGCTTCAGACAACTTGATATCAAGCAGTAGTAATAGCTGTTAACACTTTCACATAAAAATAGCTTTTTAGGACTTTGCTGTTAAATATATGACTAGAAATATAAATAAATAAATATCACAATCAAAATGGAACCTTGGTTCAGAATAGGAACCTTGGTTTTGCAAATACAAGTTTATAGGTTCATTTCCGCTTTGGACAACTTGATATCAAGCAGTAGTAGTAACTGTTGACACTTTCAAATGAAAATAGCCTTTCGGGACTCTGCTGTTGAAAATATGACTAGAAATATAAATAAATAAATATCACAATTAGAATGAAAAAATCCTTTCTTGGTTACCTGCTATTGGCGCCTGATAGCCTGAAACAATATTTATTATTAATAAAAGAATAATAAATAGAATAGGATTTCATTTAATGAATGTGCTAAGTTACTTTTGTTTATTATTTAAAAAATAACTATAGACCGATATAGCTATATAAATAATATAGGATCTTTTTTAATATATAACGTACATATTGGTATGATAATATAACTGCAGTAATTATTGCAAACACTGTTTATATAAAGATAAAAAGAGCTGATATTTTACCACATGGAATGGTGAAATACTATAAATATTTATTTATTACTTGTACTTATTTTATTAATCTTTATCTTTTTTAGATCAATGCCCTGAATGATTCGCACCAGCAAATGATGGTCCACTGGGTCGGCGAGTCGAGTGATGTGATAATTTGCTTGTCTCGGGATTCAACGGCGTCCAAAATTCAAGAGAAACTTGGTGGCAACCAGTCAAAATTGGTACCTCCTTCCTCATCGGTTTATATTTCTTATGACTATGGCGACACTTTCGTCAATAAAACTTCAATGTTTGCTTTGGTCAACGGATCGATTGCTTCGATGGACAAATATTACACACATCCTAAATTCAATGCATATGTGAGTAAAAAAAAATCATATTAGTAATAAAAACTAATAGTAATAATGATATATTAAAATTCTACAATTTATATGACTAAAATTCATGGATAAATTCGATGATATCCAATTTTTGGATACTTTTGGACAAATATTTTTGGAGTATTAATCTGTTTGGTGGATATTCGTTGCCATAAGTTTTCCAGCAACTTATTGGAACTCTTTTGGGAAAATAATAATTTTTCAAGTTCCATACTTATTTATATGTATTTTTGTATTTTATAACAAAATCTTCATAACATGGAGCCTTTTTAAAATTTTGGGCTAATGCATAAAAATCACATGGATGAGTAATGTAAATTTACATTTCAAGCATAACTTATTTTTATTTAAATATTATGAATTTTTATGGAATATATTTCGTAATATTTTCAAAATATTCTATGAAACTTTTGCTGATATATTAATAATTCCACCTTTCAAAGAATCATTACTACAAAATACAACAATATTATAATAATAATATTATATTATTCACTATATTTTTTTCTTCAATACAGTATTATTATATTATTACACTTTGATATGGATTACATCAGAATTTTTGTTTATGAACAAAATTATATAAAAGTAGCATCAACAAAGTATTTTTGAAATTTGCAGAAAATAGCGTTTTTTTTAAAAAATAATTAACTCACATTGTAGAGTAGGTAAGAAGACGAAAAATTGAGTTACTTTATATTAAACATTCTTAATTTTGATGATGGAAATTTTGTAGGAATTAAAAACTTTCATTATAAAGTTAGTCATGCAAGCTCAATTTTTATATAATTTGGGTTGCCTAAAATTTTAAGCTATCACGATTTTGATCTAAAAAAATCTAATTTTATCAGCAATCATCTTCAAATAAGAAACCTAATAAGTGTCCTGAATTAAAACCTGAATTTTTCATTCAGCAGCTCTATAATACGAATATTTTAAAATTTGTTTCTAAGATAAACTTTCATAATTGATTATTATTTATTACTGTTTACTATTAGTAATTAATAATAATGTTTTTATTATTATATTTTTGTTACTGCACTTACTTAGTACATAAGTTAAGACCTCTTATCATTATTTATTGTGTTTCGATTTGCAAATTTATTATTGGATTTTCGAAACACAAAAGTCGTAATATTTGCCTTGTCTAATCTCTTTATATATGTGATTATTTTTATCAATATGCATGAAAAATTTGGTTTTTATTGTAGACGATTCAATCTATTCGATAGGCATAATCTGTTGCTTTTTAAATAGAATTTAATACATTTAATTCTAGATTAGTCTGGGATAAAGTTTTGTATGAAAACTTGAAGCTTAACAAAAATACTTAAACTAGTTGGTTTGGTATTTAGCCTTGAGGCAAATTACATGAACTTCCCGAAATGTGTAAATAATCGACTTGATCAAAAAAATGTGTAAATAATATACTTCATCAATCCTACTTAAAAAAAAAAACGATAATAATTTTAGCAAAGTTTGACGAATTTTTAAAATTAAACTACTTGTCGTAATGCCGTAATATTACAGTAAGTTCTGTAAGACCATGATGTATATCGCCAAAAAAAGTTCCATGAAAAACGGCTTAAATTTTTTTTAACAGTTAATTACAAGAAAACGGCTCGGTAGATTTTCACCTAAAATTAATCAGTACCATTCCCATCTAATATCTTTCGAACAGTTTTTGATTTTTCAAAATCGGTTCGGTAGGATGAGCTGAAATGTGGACGAAAATTTAACACTTTTTTTCAACATTTAATTACAAGAAAACGGCTCGGTAAATTTTCACCTAAAATTAATCAGCATCATTCCCAAATGATATCTTTCGAACAGTTTTTGATTTTTTGAAATCGGTTCGGTAGGATGAGCTTAAATGTGGACGAAAATTTAACACTTTTTTTCAACAGTTAATTACAAGAAAACGGCTCGGTAGATTTTCACCTAAAATTAATCAGCATCATTCCCAAATGATATCTTTCGAACAGTTTTTGATTTTTCAAAATCGGTTCGGTAGGATGAGCTTAAATGTGGACGAAAATTTAACACTTTTTTTCAACATTTAATTACAAGAAAACGGCTCGGTAGATTTTCACCTAAAATTAATCAGCATCATTCCCAAATGATATCTTTCGAACAGTTTTGATTTTTCAAAATCGGTTCGGTAGGATGAGCTTAAATGTGGACGAAAATTTAACACTTTTTTTCAACAGTTAATTACAAGAAAACGGCTCGGTAGATTTTCACCTAAAATTAATCAGCATCATTCCCAAATGATATCTTTCGAACAGTTTTTGATTTTTCAAAATCGGTTCGGTAGGATGAGCTTAAATGTGGACGAAAATTTAACACTTTTTTTCAACAGTTAATTACAAGAAAACGGCTCGGTAGATTTTCACCTAAAATTAATCAGCATCATTCCCAAATGATATCTTTCGAACAGTTTTTGATTTTTTCAAAATCGGTTCGGTAGGATGAGCTTAAATGTGGACGAAAATTTAACACTTTTTTTCAACAGTTAATTACAAGAAAACGGCTCGGTAGATTTTCACCTAAAATTAATCAGCATCATTCCCAAATGATATCTTTCGAACAGTTTTTGATTTTTCAAAATCGGTTCGGTAGGATGAGCTTAAATGTGGACGAAAATTTAACACTTTTTTTCAACATTTAATTACAAGAAAAACGGATCGGTAGATTTTCACCTAAAATTAATCAGCATCATTCCCAAATGATATCTTTCGAACAGTTTTTGATTTTTTAAAATCGGTTCGGTAGGATGAGCTTAAATGTGGACGAAAATTTAACACTTTTTTTCAACAGTTAATTACAAGAAAACGGCTCGGTAGATTTTCACCTAAAATTAATCAGCATCATTCCCAAATGATATCTTTCGAACAGTTTTTTTGATTTTTTGAAATCGGTTCGGTAGGATGAGCTTAAATGTGGACGAAAATTTAACACTTTTTTTCAACAGTTAATTACAAGAAAACGGCTCGGTAGATTTTCACCTAAAATTAATCAGCATCATTCCCAACTAATATCTTTCGAACAGTTTTTGATTTTTTAAAATCGGTTCGGTAGGATGAGCTTAAATGTGGACGAAAAGTTCAACACTTTTTTTCAAATTACGAAGAAACGGCTTGGCAGATCGTTGCACAAAACTGACAAACGATAGTCCTCACCGAAATACATCAAATGGCTTTTAAATTTCTAAAATCGGTTCAGGCGTTTTTGAGAAAACGTCGATCAAAAGTCTAATTTTGACAAATGCCAAAAAGACCATACTGATTTTTGCAAACTTTGACGAATTTTTAAAGCTGAACCATTTGTATTAGGGCCGTAATATTTTAGTATGACCTAGAAAACTATGGTATCTTTCGTCAAAAAAATGATCATAAAAATCGTCAAAATTTTTTTTTTAAAAACTTTATTACAAGAAAACGGCCCGGCCGATCTATACCAAAAACTAACCAGCACGATTCCCAACCAAATCTATCGAACGGTTTTTGAATTTTCAGAATCGATTCAGAATTGCGGGCTAAAACGTGGACGAAAATTTTTTCACTTTTCTGCAATTTACAAAGACAAAGAAACGGCTCGGCCGATCGACGCACAAAACTCAGAGACGATAGTCCTCATCGAGATACATCAAATGGCTTTTAAATGTTTGAAATCGGTCCAACCGTTTTGGAGAAAACGTCGATTTACGGCAAAAAATCTGTTCACACACACACACACACACACACACACAACACACACACACACCACACCACACACACATACTTTTTCCAAATTTGGTCTCATTCGATTCAGAATGGCTCGAAACGTCGAGAAAACATAAAATTAGCGATTCGGATTTTTTGATGAAAACATAAACTTCTCCTTCGGGAAGTTAATAATGCATCTCGCTTTTTTCTATTTGTTACATTTCATACACAAATACTCGATAAACTGTAGAAAATGCTTTATTACTCTATGAAACGATTTCTTAAGAAGCTCTTTAGAGAATTTCTTTAACTTGATAAATCTTCAGAAAGTTCTATTATTGTTGCCTGTTGAAAAGTGTGTGAATTTTCTTTAATTTTTTTAATCTATGAATCATATAGAAATTGAGGAGGCATATGCTTCAAAAAATAAGTGACAACAAAGAAGTATTTGTGGTTTCATAATAAAAATTATATAGAACACTATACTACACAATGAAATACTTGAGCACTTCATGTAGTTAAAATCCTTTAGAATGCGTTTTAAAATGTTTCAAACATATTTTTTTATTATTAATAATTATGGAATATGGATTATCCCTGGCCTAGCGGTTAAAACTATGACCTTTCATTCATAAGTTCCAGATTCGACACTTAATTCGGTAGTCTGATGTCAAGCCGTAGAGTTTTTTACTTTATAACATCAGTTTTTACTTGATAATATAGGCAGCAATATGTTTTCAAAAATTTTCTTTCCACTCATTACTCCAATAAAATTAAGCAATATTAAAATTGCTAATTGTGAATTTAGCATTTAAGGTCTTTTTAAGAGTAAGAGCTCAAGACGCTTTGGTCATATTCTGTTTCTTAATCTATAAATGTTTTTATCTTATAAATAATAAAGCATATTAGTTGGAAATTGAATATGAATATTGAATAATTATGTATTATTAAATTGTAATTCATATCACATTTTTCGACCCATTTTATCAGTGGTTTGCAACCTTTTTTGCCCCCTGCTCTAATAAAAAAAAGTTGAGCATCCCTTATTTTTTCAACAATTAAATTCTATAAATACACCAAATTAATATGCAATACTATTTAACAATATGCATAAAAACTAATAATTTTTCTTTTTATTTCTCAATATCATTTCAGAAATTTTGGGCGCGCTCCACAGCTTGGGAACTTCTGCATTAATCTTTTAGTAGTCAAATGTCTCTTGTCCATATTTGCTTATATTTGTTCCCATTATCTGACCATATGATTCAAACATCAGTTAATTCTTTCTCTTAATGGCTTTGCCTTATCGTGCAGATATAATTTGTTTATTTGGATTATTATATATAGGATACAAAGTCCTTTTGCCTTCTTAGAATGATATTGATAAATTGAACAGGCGTTGTGTTTGTTTTTCTATAGAGATAAATCTGTGCATAAACTATTGCGTATTTATCAGTTTAGCAATAAATAGTTTAGTAATAATATAACATTAGATAAAAATATTTTGGGAACGAATTTTTCTTGGAATTAACTGTGTGAAATTTGTCAATGTAATATTACTTATTAGATAATAATTAGATATTTTATATGTTGCTTTCAAAGGTTCTTTTATATAATTTTCATGTCTAAAAAAGGCCTGATTGATTTCGTCGTAAGGGTGCGTCCATTAATCACATGATCGAGTTTTTAAGAATTTTTTGACCCTCTCCAATCCCCTTGGCGATACATGGTGATTTTCAAACTTACCCCCGTCTCCCACCGAACATTACGTGTATTTTTAGTTACGAGATAAAATCGTATTTTTTTTGAAAATATTGGGATTTAGAAAAAATCAGGTAAAAAATAAATATACAATAGTGGATGTCTCCAACAATTGTCAGGCATCATGTGGAAGAAAGTCTTATCATCCTTGATATGGCTTTTCCCAAGTCCTGATATCTTGGTGCATTCTTTTTCCTGCTATTTGACAACATCTCCAAGTCTTTCCAAAAACCGTTCTAAATGAGAGTACTGGCAATGAATTCAAATCCATTACATCAAATACATCAGTTTTTTATCTCTGGTCTCGAAATCCATGACAACATGGTAGGCAGAAGATGCTGATGGTTCTAGGTTGTTCACCATTAGCATGGATAGGGGTCGTGGTCGTAAGTAGACCCCATTACCTTTGGGGTATCGTATTTTATGACCATATGTTTCTATTGCCTAAATTTATTCCATTGATATTTACCACACAGAAATAACAGTCGTCGATTTCATTATAATGAAATCTTTAATTCTGATTCTTTTATATAGCCTCTTGATAATGTAAAGTTAATTATTATTAATTAATATATACAAATTGTTTATAGTCCAGTCATTTAAGCTGAATTTAGGTAAGAATCTCGGAATTCGAGATACCCAGCTGTAAGTCTGTAAATACTTGTATTTTGCGCCCTAAAAGTTGTCTCAAAATCTATATAGAAGGGTTTACGCAACATATGTAGGATTTGAGACAACTTTTAGGGTGCAAAATACAAGTATTTACAGACTTACAGCTGGGTATCTCAAATTCCGAGATGAACTTACTATAATGACTATTATTAATAATATTAGAACTGTTACACAAATGTAAAATAAAAATAACTTTTATATTTTAAACCTGTAACATTAGAATAGATAACAATAATTATATTTTTGTCACGTATGACAAATGTAACAAACACTCTGTAACGACTTTGGCGTCGGAATTCATTTAGGTTTAATTTACTTAATACAAAATATTCAAGTAAAAATGTAGGTTTATGTGAAATGTACAGTTATACATGTGCATTGTTTGTTCTAACAATTCAGAGTACGTTAGTTACTTTATAAAAACATTAAATATTATGTATGAAAAAATTATTAAGCTATAGATATTTTGTTCGACATTACATATATTTATTACTAGAATCATTATTGCATCATAGCACATTTCCTTATTTATTTCAAAACATTATTATTAAAATTTAATATTCTTTTTAATGAGTTAAACGTATATTTATTAAATTATAATAGTTTTAGATCTACGCATATCTACTACTAGTTCTATGTAATTGATGGTTTGTCATTTTGTTTTTCCCTCACTTTTAGAAATATAATTGTTTAAATTATACTGACAGATTTTTTAAGATACACAATGCAGATGCGTTTTACAATCTGAATTTATGGTTTTTTAATAACTAATATGTGGATCTTTATATACAGTTAATCAATAGTTGGATAGACTTGGTTCTTAATATAAATATTTGCAGAAATGTTTCATCTTGAGAAAAAAATTCAGAAAGATCTAAATGTTACAGATTGCAATGAAAAATATAAATGTGAAAATTATAATGAAATAAATATATTATTTTATACTAACAAGCTAAATAACAAGACGTTAAAAAATAAAAAATTATGTGTTTATTCTTGGAATTAATACAATGGTTTGCAACTTTCCAGTAGAACCCCTGTTCTTTTACAAAAAATTGTTGCGTTTTTTTAATTTTTTTCACAATCTAATTTCACAAATACTTAATTGATATTATTCTTCCTATTATTATTCTATTTTAGTCATTTATCAGACTGCTAATTAATACACAATATTAAATATACCTAAAAATAATATTTTTTTTTCATATCACTTCAATATTTCTGCTTTATTTTCAAAAATAGTATTTTGGAATCAGCTTACCCCCTTTGCAAGAGCATTTTCTCCACAGATTGGAAATCACCGTATTAATATATCTATATGAAAAATTAAATAGGATTTTGAAATTTTTTGAAAAGTATTATTTTATGCTTGAATCATTGAAAAGTAAATTATAAGGTAATATATTAATTCAATTTTTCGACGATCAACAATGTATTTTATTTATTTGAGTTTATGAAATACTGTAAACTCATAAATTTATATCCTTACTTTCAATTTTTAAATATGTGCCAAAATTAGCAGCTTATTATTGCAGAAAAGCACATTAAGAGTTTAAAAGTAATTTTTAAAAATCTATATTCTATTTGATAAATAATTTGTAATGTGAAATGTCTTATTTGTGATATGTTTTATGATATAGTTGAGACATTTTACTTAGAGTATATGTAAATAACGGTCATACACTGCTCATATGTTAATTTGCGAAAAAATGACGACTGTTTACAATATCGATTTATATTTACATTATAGGGATATGTGTTATATGTATATACAAACACTCACATACACAGACATATATATTAAAATATTTTACATTCCGTTCATCAAATTAAACAAAGTTAATATAGAAATAATTCTTTATACGATTCGACACTTGATGTGTTTCGAAATTTTCAAAACTTTTTCGAAATTTGCCAATCTGGAGCATCCTTTTGTCGTATATTATAATCTAGCTTGCTATAATCCTACCTAGATTTGTCAAACCCAGATCTTGATTTAAACTTACTTGTTTAATAATATATTATTCTAAATGTTAGTTTGATATTAATTTATTTTTTTTTAGTTCGTTTTCCGTGATCTCTACTACAAGGTGTTGTTTGTGACGAGGGACATGGCTGGAACTTTCATCAGGCGGGACATCCCATTTACACCTTCCGATTTGTATTTCCATCCCGAAGACCCGGAAACATTTTTGGTGCACGACGAAGTTGATGAACAGAAAACGGTAAGATTTTATAGATACAATTATAATAGATATAAATGATAAAATTCGATACAATATTTATACAAATGCACTATGTTTTGATAAACGTTTTTCGAAACCAATCAAGATCTTCTTTGCTGTTTGTTTGTCTGTAAAATTGATAATCAATTGCTTATATTACCTGCAGTAAGATTTTATAAAATGTTTTGAATTTTGTGTATTTTAATCCAGCTTACTGAAAAATATTTATTTTTACAATTTTTATCGAATAAAATCATTAACAAAATTTAATGATATGACTTATAATTAGTTAATGATAATAGGGTACGTTACATATTGTACAGCATTAATAAAAATGTATTTTAAATATTTATCATTAGAATGAGAATATTTATTAAAAATGTTTTTTATATTTTTAGTTGTACATAACGAGAAATTTTGGAGAAACATTTACACCCCTACAGAAGTATGTGAAGTCATTTGCATGGTCTTCAGGTTCTTCATCTGATGCATCAAATTATTCAGGTGGATCCAGGTAATAAGTTTATAAGTTTTTATATTTTTGTTTCTAGAACGTAGCATTTTCTCAACATTTTTCTGTTTTTTTTTTTTCAGTAATATTTTATATAGAATGTATCATTTTTTCAAACAATTTGCTATGTTTCTCTCAACTATATTTTAACATTTTATTGCAGTAAATATAAATTTCAGAAACTTATTGGCACAAAAAATATAAATAATATTTTTATGTTTTAAGATTTTTTATAAATCAAATAATATCAACTTTGTCAACAGCATAAGTCTCTTAATTTTGTTGCTTTCTTATGTGTCAAAATTTTATTTTGGATATTGTTTCGTTATCATAATTATATTGTAAATATTTGAATACAAAAACGAGTATCTTTCAAATACTTCACATACCATTTTATGATGTTAATTCTGAACCATTTATGAAATATTTTAATCACATTGCTGAAACTATACTTTACTGCTAAATTTAGTATTTACATATTTATTTTTCTATATGGAAAAAGGTTAGACCTACTAATATAGTGCTTACTCTTAAAGTTCTTAGCAGTATAACTATTCTAAAATATACGGTCACTAAACAATTAACTCAAATATTCAAAAACTTAAATTTTTTACGATAACACAAAGAAGTAAGCATACATTTTCAGTGTTCATTTTTATAATTTCAGAATGACTTCTCCTTTGCCTTTGCTATTATATATTGAAAGAGCAGAACCAACGGACACAAGTACTGTTCTTACTGTGACCGCATTATCCCAGACAAATGTGTTGATTGGCAATGTCCAAGATTTCTTAGTTAGAGGAGACTTTATGTTCGCCACCAGGAAAAACAACAAGGTACAATATTTAATAAACTATCATTTCAAACCAATGTTTGGAACTTAAACATAATACTATTTTTTTCCAGAACAATCTAGAACTACTGATTTCATATCGAAGAGCCCTTTTGTAGTAGCTCATTTTTCATCAGAATTGAGCTTTCTAGCCATCCATGTGGCTGATGTGACAGATAGAAGACTGATGGTAGTGGGTGTTCATGGTGACACTGTAGCTCATCTCTATGTTTCTGAGAGCAATGAAGATTTCTCTAGAATTAATTTTGTTTAAGCTTAGAAGGCATTTTGTGCCATGTTCCAAATAGTACGTGGACTGACACCTGGCTGAGGTAAGATAATTAAACAAATATACAAATTTCTTTATAAGAACAACATATTATAGTATAAAGTTTGTTTTTTTACAAAAAATATTAGTCTATATGTGTATGTATATTGCTATAACACATGTCATAGGTGGATATGAAGAATTTTTTTTACAAAAAATATTATTCTATATGTGTATGTATATAGATATAACACAATTCATTGATATGAAGACATTAAAGTCTTGCTAAAATTTTTCTTGTTGTCCATTTAGGATACATATAAAAAACTTTAATATTGATCAATCATATACTGTTTTTTACAATTAAGATATATGTACTTATATCATCATTAATAAGTAATATAATTTTAATTTATGTCTTATTTTCCAGTGATATAGCAGAAGAATCATTTGCTGACTTATACCGTGTTGAGGGTCTTCTTGGAGTCTATATTGCGTCCCGCGTTCTTTCTACTTCTACATTCAATAACAATGCCACCAGTAGAGGCAGAACTCAACCAGTTATATCACCAGAACATTTATCCAGTGTGATAACCTTCGATCATGGTGCCACTTGGCGACCGATTTCTCCACCGCGACGAGATGACGATGGACATCCAATCAAATGCGACACCAACCTGGGATGCTCATTGCATTTGACTCAGAAATTCAGTCAGTTGTATCCTGTTACTAGATCGGTAATAAAGAAATCAAATTACAATATATATGTATGATTTTATTTCAAGGGTTTTCTGTAGATTACTTTTTTTTTATAGAGTGCACTAACTTGCTTCTATTTTTATTTTATCTATTGCAGGTTACAATACTCAGTTCCAAGTCCGCACCGGCATCATTCTCGCCGCTGGTGTTATCGGACGCTCTTTAAAAGGTCATCCTGGTGTATTTTTAAGTCGAGATGGCGGCCTTACTGGAAGCAAATTCTGAAAGACTATTATTTCTTCAATTTCGGTGACCACGGTGGCGTTTTAGTCGCCGTGAAGTATTTTAAGACGAGAGGCGAAACGAAACGTCTTCTATATTCTACTGATGAAGGTGATACTTGGAAGAGTGTCGATTTCCATTCAAAGGATTTGAGAATTTATGGTTTGATGACGGAACCAGGGGAGAATACTACGGTTTTCACTATGTTTGGTTCAAGCCCTGGTCTACATCAATGGCAAATTATAAAGGTAATAAAATCTTAGTCAAATAATACTTTGATTGATCATATTTACATAAAAACGTACATGACGAAATTGACATTATATATTTCATATTATCTCTTTCTTCTTAGGTTGATTTGGCAGCCGCTTTCGACCGTATGTGCACGCCCGAAGATTACAAATTTTGGGCTCCAGGAGGTCTTTCTGGTGTTTCAGAAATGGCATGTTCTATGGGATCCAAAGATACTTATCAACGAAGGATACCAAGGGCTAATTGCTATAATGGCAAAGATTACTCCAGACCGGTTAATAAAGAAGTTTGCGAGTGCGGAGCTCACGATTTTGAATGTTCTCCAGGTACTAATTTATATTATTTGAGAAATATTTCTTTTTAACATCCCGTAGAGTAAGTTATTGTAATAGGCCGAAAATCGGAATTGAAAATTTTTACATTTCTCGACGTTTTGAAGGTTTCTGAACATTTTGGCATACTTCAGAAAAAATGGATGTGTGTGTATGTATGTATGTATGGATACAAATTTTCGCCCACGTTTTCGGGCGTACGGATCAACCGATTTGAATGGTTTAAAAAACATTCGATTCCTATTGATAAGGAGATGTGCTGATTAGTTTTTGGCAAAGGCAGGTCCAGCAGTTACGGAGATAAGGAGCAAAGAGTGCAGAAAATAGAAATCGAGTTTTTGAGAGAACGGAGCATCCGATTTGAATGATCTAAAAACATTCAATTAGTAATGATTGGGAGAAGGGGTTATTAGTTTTTCGCAAAGGCGGGCCTAGCCATTTCGGAGATACAGAGCTAAATGTACAAAAAATGGCAGTTTTGAGAGAACTAAGCGTCCTATTTAATTGATTCAAAGAACTTTCTGCTTGTCTTAACAAAATAATTGATTTTCCAGAAGTTCCAGCAATTTGCCTTAAGACACGATGCCGTAATGCCTTAAGACAGAATTCCACTTACAGCAAGTTTGTATGTCTATTAATTGCTAAACCATGTTTCAGGCTTTACTCGTAGTAGCCAACCGTTCCACTGCCATAAAAAACCTGAACTATCAGAGGATCCGTTTGCTGTTCCCGCCACTTGCAGACCTGGACAATTTTATAAAAGGACTAAAGGTAAAAAACTAAAAAAATATTAATTAGCACTCTTAATAAATTAGAAATCTCACATTGATTGATTTGCATATAATATCACTTTTTTTCTTCTTACAGGTTATAAAAAGATTATGGAGATGTCTGTTTGGGCGGTTATGAGTACCTCTATGAACCAGCAACAATACCGTGTCCCATTTGCTCCAACAAGAGAATTTTTAGTTATGGCTCAACGAGAGAAATAATTCGCATAGATTTATCTGCACCAACTAATGGCACCATATCAAGGACAGGAATAGAAGTTTTTCCTGTAGATGGTTGAAGAATGTTATAGCAATTGAGTATGATATGAAAAATGATTGTGTTTATTGGGCTGATATTGTCAATGATACAATTGGAAGACAGTGTTTGAGAAACGGAACTGAGGAGAGAGAGATTTTGGTGGAGACTGATTTAGCTAGTGTTGAAGGTGTGTATTTGTAAAATATTCAAAAATAACTCAAATAAAGTATTTTTATAAACATATTTCTATTATATTCTTTCATATGTATGTCATAGGAATGTCATTGGATTGGATATCTCGATTATTGTAACTTGTTGATGGAATGAGACAAAAGATTGAAGCGATACAATTGATACAAATGCTTTTGGACGATTCCGGAGAACTATTTTGGATTCAAAGGTTCTTACAAAACCTAGAGGTAGAATACTTTTATATTTTTAATTGCTTATTTTTATAATTTTGTACTATAATTGCTACTGTGTATTTAAGTTATAATATATTGTTTTAATTTTTCTTATCTAAATTAAATTTATTTTATTTATTTATTTGTTTAATGATTTCAGGTATTGTTGTACATCAGTGGCTGGCTATATGTTCTCTTTTTACTGATTGGGAGCCAATTTCCCCATCTATTTCAAGAGCAAATCTAGATGGAAGCGAAGTAACTCGGTGTTTACTGCACCTGTTTGTTAGTTGGCCCAATGGCATCACTGTAGATCATATCGGTATGCAAAAAATATTTTAAAATAACACTACTTAATAGTTAAACAATAATAAAATGTTTTTTACATTTAGAAACATTAATTGTTTCTTTATTGTTTGTGATTGTGCAGTGTAATAGAAAGTAAAAAATATAATGGAAATGGAGTTTTGACAAAATTTTTTAAATTTAATTTTGTTGCCAACATATATTAAACTTTTATAATGACAATATATATTGTAATTTGATCAACATGATATTAAAATTATCTATCAAATGGTGGTCTATTTGGATTTGGATTTGCAGTTCCATAAAAAGTAAAAATATAATGGAAACTCAGTTTTGAGAAATTTATTAAATTTAATTTTGCTGCCAACATGTATTAAACTTCTATATATGACAATATATATTGTAATTTGATCAACATGATATTAAAATTATCTATCAATGGTGGTCTATTTGGATTTGGGATTTGCAGTTCCATAAAAAGTAAAATATAATGGAACTCAGTTTTGAGAATTTAATTTAATTTACTGCCAACATATATTAAACTTCTATATATGACAATATACATATATTAAGTTGATCAACAATAATATTAAAATTATTGATAAGTGGTGGACTCTTTAGATTGCATAACTATGAATAACTAATGCATCACAGTTTAATATATTTTTTTATTTTTATCAGCTGAACGCATATATTGGGTGGATGCTCAAGAAGACTATATTGCCAGTAGTGATTTGCATGGAAAAACTTTGAAAAATTATGTCTGAAGAAGAACGAGTTACTCATCCATTGTGCTGTAGCTGTTTTCAAACACACCATGTATTGGGATGATTGGAAAAAACAGTGCTGTGTACAGTGCAGACAAAGATCATGGATTACAGGTAAACATATTAATTACTGTAATCTTTATTATTAAGGCATTAAAGCGTGATAAATTTGAGAAACCAATTTAAAGTTGTGATCACAATAATTTTTATGTAATTTATTTTTCAGGTCCAAACAATTGATAGGAGATCTCCCTGGACTTATGGATCTGAAGATCTATGCCCACTCAATACAAGAAGGTA